CACCCCAAAAAAAGCCAAATTATGCACTGAAACCTGAGGATCATAATATTAATAATTTCAACAGCATGGTTTAGTCCAGCTGACCCATTTATCAACATTAATTAAGCAGCTGAAAGCACATAAAGGGTGAAAAGTGTTCACATTCGACCCCAGGTTGGGCAGGGTGCAGGATGAAAACAAACAAACAAACAGAAAGTAGAGGTTGTCCACACACTAAGATTTGGCAAGCTTCATGTCAACAAACAAGGTCTTCATTAAAATAAAACAAATGTCAATAAGACGTTGAGAAACATACAGAATGTCCTAATAAGAGCTCTGTTATTTTTTCAAGCTATACTTTTCAACAGATGTGTATAAATGACAATGATCCTAGAGAAGAAAAACACAGTCTGTATCTTAGCATCAGGGGAGACATGTAAGATAATGTAATGGTATAGAAGACTGCACACTTTTACAAAAAACACAAAGCTCCTGTGAGGAACTTTCTCTATGCGTACATTTTGGCACCCCCATGTGGACAAAGTGTTACCCTTCATTTTTTTTAGGTTATGATTTCCTTAGACAAATCTCATCCTGATTCCTTTCACTAGTCAAACGTATTGGTTTGAAAGACAAGGCCTTGTAAGTTGAAAAGATTACTGAAATGAACTCTTTAGTAGATCACAGATTTCAGTGTGTCGTACCTTGTTGGCCGTCAGCGGGTCTTCCTTCACAGTGAACTTTTTCTGCGCCTGGTGGCCGGCCATCACGTAGGCAACGTAGCTCACATCATTCTCTAGCAGCCATTTAAAGGTTCGACCTTTATACTTGCCGAACAGAACCATACACCTGCTAAGAAGAACCCGGTCATCGCAGGGGTCGCCGCCCTTACAGAGATTTGGAGTCTTTGCTGCAGCCTCCACCTCTTTTTGCCTCGTCACCTGAGGGCCTCCCCGTCGAGCAGCCTGTAGCGGATAATGGAACGGCGCAGCTTTCAGAGCCTCCTGTGAGGGCTTCAGCTCCAACTCTCTCATTAATGTTTTACAGAGGGTGGGGTCACCTTTCTACCAAGGAAAGCAAAGTGAACACAAACAGAAAACACCAATGGGAGTATCATTTATAATTAAAACAAACTCATGTTAAGGAGATTATAGGTTATTGTGTATAGTTAAACTTACATCAGCACAGGCTTGAGTCTTTAAATCTAGAAATAAAATACAGGTGGTGACAAGATTATACATTAGAGTCTTTTTCTTAACAATAATGACTTTTTCCAATGACACATGGATTAAAACATACACCCCACCAATATCAAGACCAATGACCTGCAGTGTTTGCTTTTTATAGAGTTTAAACCAGGCAATACAGTCTGGAAAAAAAAGGCACATTTTGGCAAAATGTCTTTTGATGGCCCACAAAAATAAATGATTCAACTTGTTTGTAGTCTGAAAGTCCATTTTGGAGCAGGAGGGGGAAAGCATTAAAAACATACAGTGCACAGACTGTAAACTTCAGATCATTTAACCGCAATGAGTCTAACAAAGATTCCCACAGTTTTTAAAATCATAATAATTTGAAAAATTAAAGTTAAACTAACAGAACCAAAAAAATAAAAATAAAAATCAGTGGCCCTAATCCTCTTCAGTCGAAACTCTATAAAAACACAGAGGGGTTTTTTCCCCATGCAAATTTAAAAAATATTAATAGGCATTATTGCAGAAATGACGATGCTACCAAAGCATCAACAGACTGTGTAGTTGTGTAGTTTCAAAAGAGCCACTCACATTGTTTAGATATTGTCATTACATGTTTGCTGAAAAGTAAATAAAAATTGTAATTGTAATATTTACAGTATATGGTTTAACCACACTTTGCATAGACTCGACTACTTCTCCTTTACAAAAAGGACCATGCTTGTATATTTGTTTACTCACCCAGTTCCTCTGCCTCCTCGTTGAGGTTGAGCTGCCTCAGTAAATCCAGAGTCACCTGCACAGCTTTGCACCCTGTGAAGGTTGAAACCAGGACGCCCGCAACCTCCCATCGTCTCTTCCCCTCCACGTTGTTGCGGCTGACCCGCGGCTTCTCTCTACGGTCCCTCAGCTGGTCACAAAACCTCAGATAATCCTCTTCATTCAGATCATCCAAAACCTCCACTATAGCTAGTTTGAAAGTAGTGCGCGCCATATTCAACTCGGTCCGCAGCATCACACTGCTGAAATGTGATGAAAAAGCGGAATAACCAAATTCAAATTGCATTTGGCGCGTCAAAAACACCAATCACTGACACCGAGAAGGACTGCGTGACCAATAAGGACGTCCCTGTGTGCTCGTCATAGGCGCGCGTGCTCTATAAGTAGGCTATATAAATTAAACACAATAAATAAAGTTAATACAAATGTGAAATAATCGAAAATTAAATTGATATAATTTTGCAAAAATATGAAGAAAAATATGAAAAGAATAAACAAACAATATGGAAACGTAAAGATACAAAAATATGAATGTTGATGACAATAATGTGAAATAAAATATAAAGAACAATTATGAAAAAAATAAAGGAGGGGGAAATATAAAGACGTATGACTGAGGCAGAAGGATAAGTTAATAGCCTATATCTTTATTGTTTATCTCTATATCCTTTTTTAAGTATAGCCTATTACACAAGTTTGCGAAAACGTGATTTTCAAACTTTTCAGTGAAAATTGTTAGTTTATTAAAAAAATTGTTAAATTATTAGATCACCGTATATTTCTATAATTATTTTGTACGAGTTATTTCTTATCAACCATTGCTTTAATATCTTTATACTGATTACTTTTTCCGAGCTTTTAATCAAATGGCATGGGCAGGACATCCAGCCCAGGCTGTTCGCCTATAGCTGTGTATTTATTTTCACATTACTCTATAATCCATGCAGTTTAACACATTACTTTTATTTCCCGATTGCACAAGCAATTTGATAACTTGTAAGTTAAGTAGGCTACTTTAGCGGTGTTAATATTGCACAGTTTCTATATAAGTAAAGTTTATTTAGGCTATAGCACTTTTCATATAGCCTACATTGGCCACAAAGCGCTTTATAAAGACACAATATAGGTAACAGTATGGGTTCTCTCCGGGTACTACAGCTTCCTCCCACAGTCCAAAGACATGCTCCTTAGGTTAATTGGTGACTGTAAATTGACGGCAGGTGTGAATGTGAGTTTGACTGGTTGTCTGTCTCTATATGTCAGCTCTGTGATTGACAGGTGACCAGTCCAGTCCAGGTTTTAGCCTCTTGCCCAATGACAACTGGGATCGGCTACAGTCCCCCAAGACCCCGTACGGTATAGGAGTATAGACTATGGATGGATTTCCTGGTGTTTTTTTGTTAATTTTTCTTTATGCTATTGTGAGCAACAGTAGTTCTTGGATGAATATTGAGGTGTCCTCTGGGCAGCACAAGAGGCCCTTTCTACACAATGTATTTACTTACATTGCTGTATATATTTATTGTACACATACAGATGTTGGAAAGTTGTCTAATATCTACAATCTGATTGATTCCAGGTTCCTGGAGCAAGGCAGGGCCTCTTTCCATGCTTATAGTCTAATTTGCTCCACTCCGATGTCCAGGCCATAGGTGAGACAACATGATTTTGTTTGATAAATAACACCTGAACCTGTTTCTTATAAAGCACTGGATTAACAGCCGGCCGGGCTTGAAACGTTGTGTTCTTATGCATATGGAAATAAATAAGTATATCATTGGGAGCCAAAGTGCTGGGAGTCTTTGTGCCGCATATCTGGATGAATATACCATTTTTCAATAACTTTGATTAAGAAAATAAAACTTAATTTACACCTATGTCAACCAGTCAAGTTGCTGTTTAAATCAATCAGATTTTTCCAAAATGTGACAGTGTAACTGTTGCTGGGGCAGTGATTGTATATCATAACATCGGTGCCGCATAAGAAAGCTTACAGTAGAGGGTCAATAGAACTATATTAGCAGAGAACTTCTCTTTGTATCTGTGTTTGTCTGCAGAGCATGTGAATGTCATTAAACCCTTTTAACAGCTGGAGAAAAAAAAAAACTTGAAGAAAAAGGGTAGTGTGTTCAAAACTTTGGACCTACATTTTGAGAATTTGTACGCAAGATGTTCTATCACAAAATTTGAAAAAAAAACAACAACATCCCAACATAATCCCCTTTTATCCATTGCTGTGATTTTGCTATCATGAGAATGGGACTGATGTGAGGTGAGTGACCTTAACCTTTGATCACACTATTGCTTTATCCTAGTGGTTGTTTGTGCAAACTTTAAAGATATTTACTCCAGACACTCTAGTTAAAAACATGGGACATTCAACAAACAAATGGACAGAAAAGCCTAAACACATGTTGCCTCTGTCCCCTGCTGATCAGCGTCACAGAAGCTTTATATAACTAAAAAAAAGATGGAGGTTTAAAAATGTAGTCGAGGTTCTGTATACCTAATGTTTTATAGTCAAATAACACTGTTTTTTAAAACTTACCTTTAGATACTGAGCTGCTTTCTGACAACTTTTTGACCAGATCTTGTTCATTGTAATGGAAATATTTGTGAGTTGATGAATAAAGATCTGAATTGCAACGAACTATCCTCGAGAGTTTTTTATTCATGTAAGAAGAAGCAAACACACAGAGTGGGACAAAAGGTACAGTCTGTCAGAAGCTCAAAGGGGCAAATGGGAAACAAACTTTCATACATTGTATCAAAGGGGAGGGGTGGATATAGACAAACTCTGTTGTAGGGCAGATTAAGAGTTTAGCACTAAACGTACAGTAGTCCAGACAGTTTCTGTATCTTAATTCAAAGAAAAGCAGATGTTCATGCAGAGGCCTCTAGTCATCAGGATATGTGTGGGCCAGGTGTGATTGGAACAATCTCACAGAACGTTATATTTTAATAAAGCAGCCTTGTGCATTTACTTACATTATCCTCTCTAAAATATCCTTAGTCACCTCCACACAGCGTTGGCCATAGATCTCCACCATCAGCTTCACTATCTCATCTTTGTCTGCGGTCACCACTTGGTCCTTTGGGATTTTTGGGAGCCCTTCTTTCATTTTAGTGTGGAGCAAGACATGTTTGAATTTCTCCAGGTCTAATTCTTCCAGTGTTTCTAAAAGCTGTGAATGGACCGGTGTCATGGTTGATTCCTGCTTCATCAAAAAAGTAAGTAAATATTGTTAATTAAATAGTTAGAAATGAAAACTGTAGAGTGTCTGATGTAACATTACTCACATGTTGTGGATCTTTTTGCTGAAGTTTCTCTAAGGGGGGAGAGAAAAGGACTCAATAAAATCAGACAAAAAGCAGCTTTAGCCAGTTTTAGTCATTTTGTGAATAAAATATAACATGGCACCATCTCAACATCTTAAAAATAAATAAAAAATGTAAAACTTACATAGGTTGGCTTAGAAGAAATAATCTATCTGGTCACTTTTTTAATAAATTAATATCATTGTCTTTGTCCTCAGGAAAACACTGGATGTTTTGACACGTGTGCTTCCAAACAGGAAGTGAACAGTACTGCACCATATTGGATGATCTACTTGGAAATCTTGTTACGAGAGGATTATGAGCTGTTGAACCCAGAATGAATCCGTAATTTGTATTGAATCATGAAAATAAACTTTTGCAGAACATCACCTTTGTGGCTCACTGTCTCCTATAAGCCACAAATTTGCACAGCTCTGGAGAACCCCCTTTATTGTTATTACATATTTACCACTGTCATCACTATTTTTGCAAACTTACATCTCTTACCTCCAGCAAGTATTTTTACATTCAGTTGACAAGCCTGAATAAATGTTGTATTTCATTTTTCATTTTTTTTAACCAGTAAGAATGTTAAGTTAAATCCTTAATGTATAAATCTCTTCTTATTCTTATTGCTTTTATATTTTAAGTGCTTATTTACTATGTATCTATTCTTATATTGTTTTATTTACTCTGATAACATGCTGCTGTAACACCACAATTTCCCAGTTTGGGATCAATAAATTATATTCTATTCTATAAGCAAATTAACTTTAAAAGAATATAGGCAAGACGTGTACTGTCCAAACCAACCAAAATATTGTCAAAAAAAATACTTATTTCCAGTGAGCAATCAGTGAAAAGCATTTTTCTTTAGTCAATTTTTTTTTTTTACAGTGTTGCCTCTTGTGCGTAATCGTTTCTGAAAAGACCAACAGTTGAAAATAACTTCTGTTAACCGCCTTTAATAAACAAACAGCAATGACAATGTATGTAAAATAAGACAAAGCGTTATGATTGGCTGATAATTATAACCTATTCCCCTGATCTGCAGCTGGCGGATGAACTTATCTCCGCTCATAGAGAATGAGTACAAATCAAAGTCAACATACATTTCTAAGGGATGTTATCTTAAGAACTGTCTGTAATGACCCCTTCCCGAAGCAGTTAAAAATTCTCCCATGAATGTCTCTTAAGCAAGAGATTTTTTTTTCTCATATTTTTTATTTAAGCTTTTTTCAGAATTTATTTGTCAGGTTTTTGTTTTGATCTCAAGACCATTTCTTGTTCCGTAATCAAAGTTTTCTTTGTCTTCTTTTGAATGTCTGCCTTCGGACACCTAGGTCCTCAGGGGCTGGTCCCCGGTGTGTTGGTTTAGTTCTGGTCCATCTCTTGAAGGCCTCTTGGGGAATAGAGGTAGTGGTTTGCCTGATTGTTGCAGCTGTGGCTTGCTCTTGGTCACGCTGCAGAATGTACCAGACAGCGGTGTCCATCCTGGACCCTTGGGTGCAGGTTGACTCCATGGTCCTGAGGAAGTTGACGTACCTGTGTACAAGAAAGAAAGTAGCACAGGGGCTTAAATGTCTGCTAGCCTACTAACGCCAAAATCCATACTTGCTCATCATGCTTTCATACCCCATTTTATTGGAGTCTTTGGACTCGTACAGCTCTTGTAGTGTCATCAATCTGTGAGCACCAAACCCAACAAGAGCTGCTCCTTCTCGGCCTGGCTGGAGGGATCTCTCTTTGGCTTTCTCGCAGTGAATTCTGACTTTTTCCATAACCTCAGGGTAAGCCATTGCATATTTCAACAGTGAATCCTGGAAATAGAAAGAAAACGGCATTTTTAAAATGTTTCTACATTGGTCATTATAGAGGCAATTTGTGGGAAAACATTTTTCCAAATACACACTGCAGTCAGTCACCAATTAACCAAAAGAGCGTGTCTTTGGACTGTGGGAGGAAGCCGGAGTACCCGGAGAGAACCCACGCATGCATGGGGAGAACATGCAAAGTCAACTCAGAGAGGCTCTGTTCGACAGGGATTCAAACCAGGAACCTCCTCGCCGTGAGGCAACAACTGCACCACCTTGCAGCCCCCACTGCCTTCTAATTGGTACAAAAACTATATTAACAACCATAAACTATCAGAGAGTTAATGTGTGGAACAAGAGGCAGCTAGTTTAGTAAAAGCGTGTTGTTGATTAGCTCGGTGCTTCTTTCTTGTGGAAGAAGTTTTCCTTCCTGCCCATAGAGTACAACTCACCACTAAAATAATGTTGATATATTTCAGAGAGCTCACGCCTCAATGATCACCTGTCTGCGTTTGTTTACAGTGCGCAACGTTCTTTTTCCAAGGATGCTGCTGTGCTGACGTTAGTCTTTTGTTGGTGGTTTCACATTAATTAACGAGTAACAAAAGCTTTTAAATGTCAGTGTACTACTGTAACAGCTTTATTGAATCTCGAAAGTAACTAATTTGTAGTAATAGTAGTGGCCCAAATAGTAACACCTTACTTAGTGACTTTAAAGCAAGGAGCTTTTTAAAGACGCACTAATTGCTAGACTGAATGTGACCTCCTGCAAAATCAGAGAAAAGACGAAAACGTTTTGGCTTTAATGATGCTTTTGATGTCTTGTGTGAAGCACCTTGAATTGCCTTGTTGCTGAAATGTGCTAAATAAACTTGCTGTAGTAAAGATCACTATTTGTTCACTATTTTGTTTCCTTTCACTTCCTCTTTTTTCCTACTGCACCTCCTTTAGTATACTTCCTGGTTTCTCACTCTCTCCTCTCCCCCTTGATTGGTTGTTGTTTGCACTCTGTCACTAATCAATTAGATTGAATTCACCTGCCTACTCCTTATTTAAGACTGCACTCCCTTGCACTCATGTTTTCATCCTCACATGGGGCGGCAGTTCAGCAATGGTAAGGTGGCTTTTACTCCTTGTTTAGTTAGTATTTAGTCCATTTTAATTTGTCCTAAACACTTTATTTATCTTTATTTCCTTTCAGAAAGTAATGTAATTTGCTTGTTTATTGTACAAATAGTATTTTATTTTGTCTTTCAGCATGGAAGTTTCAATCCCATGTGTGTCTTGTGTAACCCTTATGATTCACCTAACTTTAAAGGAAATAAACCTGTTACATAAAAATCAGGTCTTGTTGGATTCCTGCATCTTGACCCGATGCCCCATGGTGATAGCACCTTAAAATTTGAACCCTTCTTTACACTTGCCTTGCTTTTAAGGACGAAGCCTCGTTAGTTGAGAAGATTGCTGAAATTAACGCTTTCAGTAGATCACAAAGTTCAGTGAGTGGACGACCTCTCATTTTTCTTCATCGTACCTTGTTGGCCGTCCGCGGGTCTTTCTTTTTCTCCGCCTGGTGGCTGGCAATCAGGTAGACAACGTAGCTCACATCATTCTCTAGCAGCCATTTAAAGGTTTGACCTTTATACTTGCCGAACGGAACTATACACCTGCTAAGAAGAACCCGGTCATCGCAGGGGTCGCCGCCCTTTGCTGCAGCCTCCACCTCTTTTTGCCTCGTCACCTGAGGGCCTCCATGTTTCAGAGCCTCCTGTGAGGGCTTCAGCTCCAACTCTCCCGTGAATGTTTTACGGAGGGTCGGGGCACCGTTCTACCAAGGAAAGCAAAGTGAACAAAAACAGAAAACACCAATGGGAGTATCATTTATTTAAAAAAACAAACAAAAAAAAACTGATGTTAAAGAGATTGTAGGTCATTGTAAATAGTTACACTTACATCAGCAGAGGCTTTGGTCTTTAAATCTAGAAAGAAAATACAGGTGGTGACAAGATTATGTTACATGTTACATTATACATGATAGTCTTTCTCTTAACAATTACCTGTGTGACTTTCTCCAATGATACATGCATTAAAACATACACCCTGCCAATACCAAGACCAATGACCTGCAGTGTTTGCTTTTTATAGAGTTTAAACCAGGCAATACAGTGTGGGACTAAATATCAACAATATCAATGCTTTTGAAACACTAGAAAAATGTCTTTTGATGGCCCAAAAAAACCCGAAAGATTCAACTTGTCTGTAGTCTGAAACTCCATTCTGGAGCAGGAGGGGGAAAGCATTAAAAACATACAGTGCACAGACTGTTAACTTCAGATCATTTAACTGAGTCTAACAAAGATTCCCACAGTTTTTAAAATCATAATATCTTGAAAAGTGAAACTATATAGAAACAGAGAGGTTTTTTTCTTTTCCCCCATGCAAAAAAAATATATATATTTACACGCATTATTGCAGAAGGGACGATGCTTCCAAAGCATCAAAAGATAATTTCAAAGAAAGGGGGAACAACCAAACAGCACAAGTCATAAAACCATTAACATAGAAGAGAGAGAGAGAGAGAGACTTACCCAGTTCCTCTGCCTCCTCGTTGAGGTTGAGCTGCCTCAGTAAATCCAGAGTCACCTGCACAGCTTTGCACCCTGTGAAGGTTGAAACCAGGACGTCCGCGACCTCCCATCGTCTCTTCCCCTCCACGGCGTTGCGGCTGACCCGCGGCTTCTCTCTACGGTCCCTCAGCTGGTCACAAAACCTCAGATAATCCTCTTCATTCAGATCATCCAAAGCCTCCACTATAGCTAGTTTGAAAGTAGTGCGCGCCATATTCAACTCGGTCCGCAGCATCACACTGCTGAAATGTGATGAAAAAGCGGAATAACCAAATTCAAATTGCATTTGGCGCGTCAAAAACACCAATCACTGACACCGAGAAGGACTGCGTGACCAATAAGGACGTCCCTGCGTGATCCACTTTAGATCAACCTACTAAGAGCAGTAAGGCGGGACTTGATTCTAGCAGGCTACTTCACAGCTGTCCTATCTGCCTCTGCTGTCCTGCTCCCGCTCCTCCATAACCACAAACAATAAGTACACATTAAACTTTTCTACAACACACTTAAAACGAATTGTCTTGCACCCAAATATATAATTAAAGTCTTAAAACTACACTTCTAAACAAGTTATTACCTGTAGTTATTTGTCACAGCAGTGACTTTGTCTGGGTTAGTCGAACAAAAACAGTAGCATAGTTGTAACATAACATGTTAAGAAACATTTTGAGGCTGATCTTTACATTTAAATTCTCACATTGTGTTGCAAATCATTACTTGGGTGTAATGACATGTTTAAGGTTTAGAAGTCTGTTTGAAAACCATGAAAAGAAAGATCTTTAAATGCTTTTTTTCTTTTCTTTTCGTTGTTGTTGATGAAACTACTGTTAGACCACAGACTGTAAATAAATGAGACATCCAGAAGAAATCAATATTACAAAGCATACAGTTCATGTTACTGTTCTGACTAAAAGAGGAATGTCTGTGTCTTATATTTACTGATGTCAACGGCGATGACGGTGAACATGACAATTAAAAAAAAAAAATATTTTATATTAATCACAAGATATTTAATTCTATAGAATCCTCTGAAGTCATGGAGTCTGTGGACAGTGTTAGCTTTACCCACCATAAGTATTAGAATAAATTGTATTTTAAGACTGGCATCTATTATGAGCTGCAGCTACCTTCTTCAATATTATTCCTGCAGATGTGGCTCATAACAAAAAACACCCTGAGCTGTCACATGTAGTTAACTGTACATTTTGTCTGAGGCATTAATTGAACATTTCTGTATTTCTCCCGTAGACACCGTGTGGATTATTGGTGACAGCTGTGTCCGTCGAGGTGCCCAGAGAGCTGCAGAGACTGAGGGAAGGAACCTGGGCCTGAAGAACATCCACATGAGTTGGTTCGGCTGGGGTGGACTTCGCTGAAAAGGCCTCCTTCCCTTCTTCGAAAACTCACTCCGAGGGAGGTCTCCCCCCGGATGGCCTCATTCATTGTGGGGGCAACAGCGTGGGACATGTCAGTGGTGTCGTGCTGGTCGATATGATGAAGGAGGACCTTCATCAACTCCACGTACGACACCCTGGCATTAAGATCTTGTTGTCTGCCCTCACCCAGAGGTGCCGATGGAGGCCTGGCATCCATCTGGGGAAGACTGATAAATCTCGTAGGTTTGTCAACAGTGTTTTTTTGCTACAGTTGTTGGATCCATAAGCGGTGCAATGATTGAGAACCCTCAAATTAGACATTTTTGAAAGATGGAGTTCATGCTCCCCCCCCCCCCTTTTTTTTAAAAAGTATTCTATGTATATTCACTCCTTTGTCTCTACTAATGAGTATACATTTTCATTCTTTTTACCTTTTTATTTATTTTATTTTTTTTACCAAATAGTGATGCAGTTAATATCAGTTTGGGTAGGAAGAGTATTTAGCTTCATAATTAAAGACTAATAAATGTCCCTGACACCAGAGCTATAATCATTTTTAGAGCATGCCTTTTGTTACTTGGTTTAGATACAAAAACCCTTCCTTTATCTCTAATAGTGTAAAGTGGAGAGATTTCTGCTCTTTCTGTTCCAATATCTGCCACAAGAAGTCCCCATATACAAATTCAGAACAATCAAAATCAAGATTCAACCAGAGTAAATTACATTAATTACGTGTGATTAGAAAAATGCTTAAAAATCATTCAGAAATGTGGTCTTCCTAGATCAATATCACATAATATCATCTAGTTTACCCATCTAAACTATACAAGTGATGTGCTTTATCATCGAATATAGAAGAGTTTTAATGTTAACAATTAAGGGAAGTATTAAAAAGCAGATCATTTATATTCATGAAATATATCAAAAAGAACCAATGTATTACAGTTATAAGAGGTTAAGAAATGAGAACTAGTAGGAGACTCCGGTTACGATTAGTAGAAATTCTGGAGCCAAAAGCAGAACTCAGATAGGCAGGATAAAGTTACAAAAAGTTCATTCCAAATGTGACTCGAAAGTGCAAGGGGAGGGGTAGTGCGAGGTTCCAAGTGGCAGTGTCCGTGATCCCAGTGTGATGTCCCAAAAAACACAAACGGCGATCTGACGCAAGGCAGAGAAGAAAAAAGGGGTTAGTTACACAAGCTAAGAAGTGCAAACACAAATTGTTCCAGCAGGTGTCACCTTTAGGTTAAGGTGAAACTCTATACAGGTAGGAACTATCACTGGGGTGTCAGGTGTTGCTAGATGGGGAGCAATTACACTTTTTTTGACCGCTGTACGCCACGCTATGAGGTAATAGGAGTGAAAGGCTTTCGGAGAGTAGAAGTGCAGTGTTGTGGCGAATTGTTTCAGATTCTGTGAAAACACAGACTTCTTCTTTTTTAGTCTTTGAAAGATATCTCTTGGAACACCTTCGCGATCAGAAAGAAGAGAGGCACATTCCGATGAAATTAGAAGTTTCTTCTGAAGCACTTTGACTAAACCTTTCATTGAAGAAACTTTTGCCTTCAATCTTCTTGTGTGCTGGACTTTCAACCTCAGCTTTTTTCGAGCTGCACAGAGCTTTACCTCTGTAGCAGAAGCCATCCTCTTCAGTGTTCTTGGAGAATGAGAAACACCGTAAGAGTGATCACCCTGAGATACGGCCATTAGATCAAAACTTAGCTGTTTTGGCCTAATTTAACAGTGATCTAATGCTGTCCAATTTTTACTCTGATGTATGGGTTGATTGCTGCTACCTAGACCAACATCTTCCCCTGCATTCGCTGTCAGCGTAATGTCATCATGAATGACATCTTGAGCAACAAAGGCTTGTTGGGGTGTGTCTTCCATCATGACATTGCTGTGATCAGGAATGAGATTTACGGCACTGCTACCATCACCTACATCTGAAACCTCCTCACCACTACTGAAAACAACCATGCCATTGTCACTTACCACCAAGCATTTTCCTCCTGGCACTTTTTCCTCTGGGAAGTGGAAAATGGTAGGCACAGCGGTGTTCTTTGGACATTTCCTCCCCTATTAAAATGTAAAAGGGAAAAAATTATTTAGACAGAAAATAGCAGTTATCCATTTTGTGTTCATTTACTGTATTCATCTGTGTTGTACTTGCACTGTGCAATTAAGCAGTTTATTGTGGATAGTACTTCATCAGTTTAAATCAATACGTTTCTTTGTTAATAATAGTATTTAAAATATCTCCCTACCCTGGAATCAGTGCCGATGTGACAGCTTACAAAGTGTTCACTGCACAGACGAGAGGCCTTGTTGGGAGTCCAGTTCTGTCTTCTCAGGTTGAGCATCCACTGGTCCAGCCTATCTGAATCACCTAGAGGAAAACTATTTACAGGCAAAATGTGTTAACACATGTCAGTCTATCTTATTCACATACATCAACATGGCTGTATTCTTAAAACTATTTACTGTACATATTGCTTTACTGTATATCTTATTTCCATTCTGTATGTTATTTATATGTAAATATATATATTACCACTGCTATATTCTTTGTAAGAGCATCCATATCGATTAAGAACGCTTCATTTGTAGGCGCACCGAGAGTGCTGTTCCATCGCGGCAAGAGGAGACAAAAAAGTCACGGAATACATCAAAAATATTCAGAGCCTCTGGTCCCCGGTGCACTTATTGGAGCCGTTTGGACAACATGGGTGTAACTCCCAATATTCTGTGCTAAACGGATTAACATTAGAACTGATTATTGATTGAAGTTTATGTTTCATATCTCTCTATCTCTGTGCGTAATGGCACAGCTTCAATATACAGCTGATCTCTATCCGTCGAGTTGTACTTGTTATCGCATGTTTATGTTATAAAATTCATGACAGAAAATATAACTTTGAGTTTGTGGGCCGTTGAAATGAACGTCAACCATGTTACCTATTTGGTTCAGTTGTGTCTGGTTAATGTTAAACTTTATCTAAAAAATAACGATGACATATTCCATTATTATTGGAAAGTACTAACGCAGAATTAATATCCAAAGTTTTTTTTTTTTTTCAATTTCGACATTTATGTTGAGTATAGCATTCATCATAACGTCGGATAATCATATTCAAAGTCTGTGGTTAACCACCGAGGTGAACCTTTAGCTTCACACAAACTCATTCTTTTCAACATGTTAACAACTAAAATTTCTAACTCTTCAGAATTACTTTTTTCCCCAATTAAGTAGTGCTGGCTAGAGATGTTAACTTTAGCATCTTTGGCATGAATGGGAGATCAGCTAAACCATTGACCGTAAATAATGGGCTACACTGAGGCCAATTGTGCAGTTAGGCTGGTTTACAAGCTGGCCCCGCAAAAATAGACAGACACCTGCCGATGAGTATTCAATAAATAACACTACTATATCACTCATCGAAAAAACTGCGGAATCGACTTCTTGGATGGTCTGTTACTTCAATTAACCGCACAGCAAGACATATTCGTTGTTAGATATTTGCTAAACAAACACTCCAAACGAAGAAAAAAAGACGAAGAAAGCTAACGGTTGAAGGTCGGGAACGGGATGAAGCCGAATAAAGCTAGTGTCGAGTACATAGCTCCTGCTCCTGACGCGACAGACAGATGCGGCGCGCAGAGCTGTCAATCAAACTGTCACAACCCTAATATGGGCATAGACGTTTTCCTTAATAAAAAACAATCCGATGAGTTATAAAAAAAATTCCCCCCCCCCCACAGCGTGAGGAGAAGGGGCCGTCAACTTCTCAGATACATCTCGTTTTTTGAACCAGGCTGTAAACATGTTGATTCCTGTGGTAAAAACTGGATTTTTTGGCTGTGGGCTTATGGCACTTGCGGCGCTTCTGCAGCCAGCCTCAAGCGGAACCTCGAGGAACTGCAGTTTTTTGTACTTCCGCATTGGCTTCATTTTTCGAGACCGGAGGTTGCCCCTTGGTTATCACGTAGGACTATTAGACAATAAAAGTGGAAATAGAAGATGGGATAATCCTAAGAATAAATAGAATATGTAAATGTGTAAAAATACGGAGCCCCTCTGGTGACATTTTGTAAAACATTTATAATTTGTGGCCACAAAATAATAATACAGTCCGCATCAAGGGCAACACCCACAAAACATCCAGTTAGCGCTGAGGGGAAACGTAAACAAACCGCTAGGCACAATCAGCACAATGCTGAAGGGCTGCTGTATGCCCTTCAGCACTACAAATAAACAGAAAAATCAAAATCCAAGGTTTTATAGCCTATTTTACCCAACCGAAGCACAGAGCTGAGTAGGAGAGATGGGAGGCGGGAGGACGAGCTTAGTCGGATCCAAAGTTCAATCCGGCCGGGCTTGAAACATTGTGTTCTCATGCATATATGAAATAAATAAGTTGGCTGATATCTTTGGAAGCCAAAGTGCAGCATATCTGGATGGATACATAATAATCAACTTTTATTTATATATATATATATATATAAACTTTACTTAAGAAAATAAAACTCAATTTACACCTATGTCAACCTGTCAAGTTGCAAGTCGCTTAAGGCTTACAGTAGAGGGTCAATAGAACTATATTAGCAGAGAACTTCTCTTTTTATCTGTGTTTGTCTGCAGAGCATGTGAATGTCAGTAAACCCTTTTAACAGCTGGAGAAAAAAAAACATGAAGAAAAAGGGTAGTGTGTTCAAAACTTTGGATCTACATTTTGAGAATTTGTACGCATGATGTTCTATCAACAAAAAAAAACAAAAAACATCCCATCCCAACATAATCCCCTTTTATCCATTGCTGTGATTTCGCTTTCATGAGAATGGGACTGATGTGAGGTGAGTGACCTTAACCTTTGACCACACTATTGCTTTATCCTAGTGGTTGTTTGTGCAAACTTTAAAGATATTTACTCCAGACACTCTAGCTAAAAACATGGGACATTCAACAAACAAATGGACAGAAAAGCCTAAACACATGTTGCCTCTGTCCCCTGCTGATCAGCGTCACAGAAGCATTATAAAACAAAAAAAAAGATAGAGGTTTAAAAATGTAGTCGAGGTTCTGTATACCTAATGTTTTATAGTCAAATAACACTTTTTTTTTAAACTTACCTTTAGATACTGAGCTGCTTTCTGACAACTTTTTGACCAGATCTTGTTCATTGTGATGGAAATATTTGTGACTTGATGACTAAAGATCTGAATTGCAACGAACTATCCTCGAGAGTTTTTTATTCATGTAAGAAGAAGCAAACACACAGAGTGGGACAAAAGGTACAGTCTGTCAGAAGCTCAAAGGGGCAAATGGGAAACAAACTTTCATACATTGTATCAAAGGGGAGGGGTGGATATAGACAAACTCTGTTGTAGGGCAGATTAAGAGTTTAGCACTAAACGTACAGTAGTCCAGACAGTTTCTGTATCTTAATTCAAAGAAAAGCAGATGTTCATGCAGAGGCCTCTAGTCATCAGGATATGTGTGGGCCAGGTGCGATTGGAACAGTGTCACAGAACGTTATATTTTAATAAAGCAGCCTTGTGCATTTATTTACATCATCCTCTCTAAAATATCCTTAGTCACCTCCACACAGCGTTGGCCATAGATCTCCACCATCAGCTTCACTATCTCATCTTTGTCTGCGGTCTCCACTTGGTCCTTTGGGATTTTTGGGAGCCCTTCTTTCATTTTAGTGTAGAGCAAGACATGTTTGAATTTCTCCAGGTCCCCTGAACCTAATTCTTCCAGTGTTTCTAAAAGCTGTGAATGGACCGGTGTCATGGTTGATTCCTGCTTCATCAAAAAAGTAAGTAAATATTGTTAATTAAAAAGCAAAAAAGAAAAATTGTAGAGTGTCTGATGTGACATTACTCACATTTTGTGGCTCCTTTTGCTGAAGTTTATCTAAAGGGGGGAGAGAAAAGGACTCATAACTGACTCATTAAAATTAAGACAAAAATCAGCTTTAGTCAGTTTTAGTAATTTTGGGAATAAAATAAAACATTGCACCATCTCAATATCTTAAAAGTAAATTAAACATTTTCAGCATGCTAGAGATGTATTATCCAAATCTTTGGTGACCTTTTTGGACAACTTGCTTGGGTTGGATGTGCGATACTTGGCCCAAAGTAAAAATTCAATATACACATTAACGTCACAAAAACCAGGAGAATTGATTCAGCTCAACAATGTCTGTAGTCGTAGTATTTAATGAAGCATATATATTTGTGTAATGTGTCAGTTTTCATCCTCTTACTCTCAGTGTTGAATCCTGAGCTGGTCCTTGAGAGCTTCTTTAGCAGAGCAATCTTGTTCATTCTCTGTAAAACGTCTTTGGTCAGCTCAACAGACTGTTGGCCATAGATGTCCACCATCAGAATCACTATATCATATATGTCTGCCGTCTTCATTTGTTGTTTTGGGGCTCCTGGGAGGCCTTTTTGTAGGGTGATATGCAGCAGGTGTTGCTTGAATTGTTCTTGGTCTTCATAGCTTAAGCCTCTCAATGTTTGCCGAAGTGTCCAATGAAGTGATCTTGTGAATTTCTGATGGAGTCAACATAATCAGAGAGCGTTTATGTGCTTCATCTCAACTGCAGACAAAACTTTAGTTCACTGGCATCAACATAAAGTTATGACAGTATTGTCACATCTACATTTCTGAGCTTTTAACCCCTTATGAACCAGGACACAGTCTGCTGTTGACTGAGCCCCCAGACTTTGGAACAGCCTGCCAGAGGAGATCAGACTTGCAGAGTCAGTCCCTCGTTTTCCTTCTCTACTAAAGACATTGTTTTTCCAAAAAAAGAGTTCACATTTTGATTTGATTTGAATCTTTTTTATATTCGGTTTGCTTTAATTGTCTGTTGTGACGCACTCTGTTACATGTATTAAAAAATGCTATAGAAATAAAGTATTATTATTATTATTATTCTACAATTCATTTGGCAGAAACTTTGATCCAAAGTGACGTACATCACAGAGTAAGTACAACACAAGCAAGGATCTATAAAAAAGGAAACAATGTCAGTAAGAGCAAACGAACAGCTTTAAGTCTGATCAGACACACAGGTGCTGACAGGCAAAGCACAACCTCAACAGCTTATTGTAACAATAAATATCAAGCACATTAGTCACAGTGACACCGTGATGATTTCAGATCTGAAGATTACCAAAGTGCCCAATTTTAACCAACCCAATAAAGACTAAAGAAAGTCACTTGAGGGATGAATATGGAAGCTATTTAGGATTCTTGCTCAGCTCTAAGGATGAAACCAAGTCCAATGTTCATTAAATTTGGATAGCTTAAAACATCTATTTACACATTTCCCAATAATTTCAACACAGGATGCAAAAACGACGTCCCACTGCATCCATGCGTTAAATAATGGGCAAATCTGGTATATAATCTTTGTCTGCGGTCTCCACTTGGTCTCTTGGGAATTTTGGGAGCCCTTCTTTTATTTTAGTGTGGAGCAAGACATTTTTAAATGTCTCCAGGTCCCCTGAACCTAATTCTTCCAGTGTTTCTAAAAGCTGTGAATGGACCGGTGTCATGGTTGATTCCTGCTTCATCAAAAAAGTAAGTAAATATTGTTAATTAAATAGTTAGAAATGAAAACTGTAGAGTGTCTGATGTAACATTACTCACATGTTGTGGATCTTTTTGCTGAAGTTTCTCTAAGGGGGGAGAGAAAAGGACTCATTAAAATCAGACAAAAAGCAGCTTTAGTCAGTTTTAGTCATTTTGTGAATAAAATATAACATGGCACCATCTCAACATCTTAAAAATAAATAAAAAATGTAAAACTTACGTGGGTTGGATGTGCGGTATTTGGCAAAAAGTTAAACTTAAATGTACTCATTATTAACGTCACAAAAACAAGGAGGCTTGATTCAGCTCAACAATGTCTGTAGTCGTCGTATTTAATGAAGCATATATATTTGTGTAATGTGTCAGTTTTCATCCTCTTACTCTCAGTGTTGAATCCTGAGCTGGTCCCTGAGAGCGTCTCTAGCAGATCAGTCTTGTTCATTCTCTGTAAAACGTCTTTGGTCAGCTCAACAGACTGTTGGCCATAGATGTTCACCATCAGCATCACTATACCATCTCTGCCTGCCGTCTTCACTTGTCGTTCTGGGGCTGGGAGGCCTTTTTCTTGGGCGATATGCAGCAGGTGTTGCTTGAATAGCGCGTGCTCTTCATATCTTAAGCCTCTCAAAGTTTCCCAAAGTGTCCAATGAAGTGATGTTACGGTGGATTTCTGATGGAGTCAACATAATCAGAGAGCGTTTATGTGCTTCATCTCAACTGTAGACAAAACTTTGGTTCACTGGCATCAACATTAAGTTATGACAGTATTGTCATATCTACATTTCTGAGCTTTTAACTCCTTGTGAACCACTACTTAAGACATTGTTTCACAAAAAAGCTTTTACTCTGATTTCAATTTTAATTTGAATCTTTTATGTCTATTTTTCTTACTGCCCTACTGCTGCTTTCATATTCAGTTTGCTTTTATTGTCTGTTGTGAAGCACTTTGTTCCCTGTATTGAAAAGTGCTAAAAAAGTATTATTATTATTATTAAACAGTTCACTGAGCAGACACTTTTAACCAAGGCGATGTATACATCAGAGTGTAAGTACAACACAAGCAAGGATCTAGAGAGGAGGAAGTACTTTTTTTTTTGTCCTCCTTCTTTCCCATCTGCAGCTGAAAACCTTTTCCACCACTTTACTATCAAGATGAGAATAATTTTGCTCATGTAACGAAAACATGAAATAAATGGAAACCTTGTTGTTTAATGTGTTTCTGATTTTACTTTACTCACTTCATGAGGCAGTTCAGGCTGATGTTTCTCTGAGGAGAAATAAAAAATAAAAAGTGAATAAATCTTCACAAAAAAAAGGGCCATGCTTGACGTCAGCCTCAGATCAGAAATACAATATTATATTATTTGACATAACAAAGGTCAGTGGCTAATGTTACAATTTCATTTAGCAGACGCAGACGAATAAATCTGGCATTAAACTGAAAAGTCCAGAGGTCTGTACTACGAAGCAGGATTTGGGGTTAGCGAGGTAACTTCAAGGTTAACCCTGGGTTTTCAGTCCTACGAAGGTGGTTCACTTCTAACCTGGGTATATCACCACGGTAACCTATGCTGCACACCTAACCTGCTCCGGAGCAGATTATGTTCAAGATAAGAGATCAACCTAAAAATCTCCGCCACTGAACAGTCAGATCTCTTGATCTTGGAGCTCCCGCAGCTGATCGAGAGAGCGGAGGAGGGAGAGAGACCGACCAACACTTCATGTGTCCCGTATGATTTTACATTTGTCTTGAACTTCTTCATATTTTCAATTTAGTTTGTTCAGAGTTTGTTTGATATAACGATCTGCTGACGGCAGACGCAGTGATGATTGTGATTGGTTAAATTAAGCTAACTCCGCCACTTTTATATGATTGGAATAATTAACCCACAGGTATAAAACACGTTTGTTATCTTGTGTAAACAAAATAATTTATTTGTGATCTCGTTACTTTTGTTGTAATTGTGAAATATCAAATATCTTTAAACATAAATGTGTGTAATGTGGCAGTGTTTGTTTTCTTTCTCTCACCTTGAAGTCCTGAGTCTGTCCCCATCAGCATCTCAACTAGATCAGTCCTGTTCATGTCCAATAAAACCTCTTTGGTCACCTCCACAGGATGCTGGTTCTTCACCATCAGATGCACCAGTTCATCTGGAGTTGTTGCCGACATCATGTGGTGCCACTGGATTCGTGCAAAACTCCTCTGGAAGTATGTGAGCTGCAGCACCCACTTAAATTTCTCAAACTCCTTGAGTTTCAAACCACTCAATGTTTCTGAAAGAACATGTTCCACATCTTCCTTTACCGTCTAAAAATACCAAAGACAATAAACAAATTAGTCATTTCTCCAATGGTAAAATCAAAAAGGAACAGTTTCTTCAAAAACACATTGTTCTTAATGTTTGTATTTTGCTGTAGCAACATAACAGAGGAGATCCCCTCTATCCCTTCACCCTTAAATCTCTGTTAAACTGAATACAACTACATGATTTAATGCAACATGTGAAATCTTCCACAGCACATAACAGCATTTCCTTTAAAACACCTGAAATACAGAACTCAAATACTACAGAGCTGAACTTTACAACCAATTATATCCATTTGTTTTGGTTTGTATCATAATTTGCAATGTTCAAAGACTTGGATGTTTTTTAATCTGCATCAGACAAATCAGGCTGTGATATGTAAAAAACGGACTCACTTTTTCAAAGACTGGAGGTTGATGCTCATCCACTGAGGAGAAAAGACATTTGTGACTACGACGATTATCTTATTTTAATGAGACGTTGATCTACTTTAATAAGGTTCAGCTGAGAAATCAAATTCAACAAATGTATTAATCTTATTTATCAAAGATTTGTTTTGTTCTTATTTGTCTTACCTTTGGGTTCTGAGCTAGTCTCTGAAAACATCTGCATGAGATCAACTCTGTGCAACTTCTTTAAAATCTCTCTGGTCTCATCCACAGACTGTCGCCCGTAGGTCTGCACCATCACATCCAATATTGCTGTACGGTCGTTTGAGTATCTCAATAAATGTGGGATGTCTTTGGAGTCCTCTTGAAAGGCCGACAGCAAAAACTTCTTGAATTTCCTGAGCTCCCCATTATTTAAAGAATGCAGGATTTCCAAAAGCAGCTCTTTAACAGCTGCAATTGTTGCTGCCTGGAATAGTTAACACACTCATGAGACATTTGCTTAATCAACTAGGACAATTTTAAATGTGTCTCTTAAGGTGTTGAGCTGGGTGTTTCTGATAGATATTCTTTTTATTATATTGATTATTGTTGAAGGAAAAAGTCAGAAAAAGATTATGTGCTGACATTTCATCTCATAAGCACTGTCAAAGATATTTATGAATCTGCTGCACAACATTACTGCTAAAACGCTCAACCTGAATAAAGCTTCAGCTTTGTGAAAAACAGATTAATTCAAATGTAATCAAATTTCATCAAAATGTTCATGTTCATGTGTAAATCAGACAGATGTGAAGTGATTACTCACTTTCTCCAACAGGACAGAGCGTGGTTCATCTGAGCGTTTCTCTGAGGAAAAAAGTGGAAAAAATAACTCATGAGAGATTGATCTTAAACATGACAAAGATGTTATCAGGCAAAATAGTTTAGTAATGATTTGTGAGGTACAACATAAGTCAAAAAGATATATTGGTAAACCAACTGATAAGTCTTAATATCTGTGCACTATGAATCTTATTATAAATCTTGTAACAGATACAGATGTAACTTAAACACTTGTGAAATAGGTTGAGAGACAGTTTTATGATTTTACATTATCTTGGTCTTCATGGACATACTTTTGAAACTTGAGCTGGTCTCCAACAACTTCTGCACCAGATCAGTTCTGTTCATCTTCTTTAAAATCTTCATCGTCTTCACAACAGAGTTTTGGCCAAAAGTCAAAACTGTAACACACGCAGTGTCCTGATGGTTTGTCTGCCCCAGCAAACGAGGGTTGTATGAATTATATGTTTCGTAGCCTTCATATCTGATCAACTGCTTGAATTCCTTATACTGGTCTTCTGTTAGGCAAGCTATAATTTCCACAAGCAGTTCTATAACAGATGTCATCTTTTCCACCTGAAAAATTAAAAGAACATGTTCAAGGTGCAAAAAATGAGTACAGATATTTCTTTTCACATTTCATCAATTGTCTTTTTTAAGACTGACCAACGTACATCTGCCACATGAACAGAGGTTATCATACTCTTACGTTACATTCAAGAATTTTTATAAAACAGCTTGAGTTGAGTAAGATACGGTTGTTACCTTTGATTTTCTATTAAGTTTTTGTTTAATTCTAATTCCATGGTGTACATGTGTCTAAATCTGTGCAATGAAAATCAGATAACTGTATGAATCTGCCAAGAGAGTGTCTGTTAAAGGGGCGGAGCAAGGGGTGGCCAGCCCAGGAGGGACCTATGTTTAAATTATGTATTTGTGCTGTTAGTAGTATGTGTACTTTCTTAGTATGTCAATGTAACACATTTCATTTTGCTAGTATTTTAAAGGGGAAATGTGCAACATTTTACACATAAATACAGCAGAAATCAAGTATATCCTGCAAATGTCTCTCTGACTCCTGACTGCCTACAATGAGCGAGAAGCTCGAGTCCTGCTGGCTGTGTTGTTGTCGGGGTTGTGTTTACATCATGTTTACATGGACGGGACGGCCTTGTGCATAAAGCTGTTTTAGTCAAGGAATACGGAAAAGAAGAACAACATACTCACTGCTTATTTGGATGTCAAGTAAGTGTGCTTAGATCACAGTCATTCTGTGTCAATTTATTTGCAATATGAAGCTACGAGTTAACCAAAGTGTGCTAACATTAGCCTGCTAAAAACAATGCAGATTCAAAGATAGAATATTTAAATGTTTTAATATTTTTTTTTAAGTAAAATAATTAAATAAATATTCAGGAATATAACATCATATAACATGTGATACTTAAATGTAAGTAGTTAAAGAAGATATGATTAGTGGAGATATAAAGGGAAAATAAATGCTATTGATTCAGTGTACTTTGCTTTATCAGCTCTTTGAGAAAATATTGATTAAAACAGGTCAATGTTACTTAAAGGATCATATTTTTTATCAGCATTAAATAAATAACGTTAGTTTTTGTACCTTTAATTGAAATGTTCGAGGTGGACTCTATAATAGTGACGCTGTGTGAAGTCAGAGTGATGTGACATACTCACCCTCTGGGTCAGTGAAAGCAGCTCTTCATCCATAGAGTGTTCTTCTGAGGAAAAAATAAATGCAAAAGAAAACCAATTTTATTTCTATCCCTCTTTCTGCATCTCCCTCTATCCCACTTTCCAAACCCAACACAGATTCAGCAGACGCCTGTTCATCATGAGTCTGGTTCCTCTCGAGGTTTCTGCTCTTAAAGGATTTTTTCCTGGTGTTACGGACAGATCTTTCGTTTTTCTTTCTTTTGTTAATACAAGAGCTGGTTGTGAACAGGAGGTGTGGCAAACTACAACTCCTAGTGCTGATGGCTTCTGTGAAATGTAATTTCCTCCCCAACTGTTAGTGAGTTGCTGCTGATTGAAAACTGGGCGCACCTGGTCAGGACCGGGGAGACGGACAACCACCAGCGCTGCACCCTCTCTCCACTCTCTCTTCACCAAAATCAAAACAAATATCTGAACTGGATAAAAACGGAACGGGGTGGCGGCTCAGGGAAGCTGAAGATGGTGTTCGTCAGACCACCGTGACAAGGTCCAGAGCTAAACAACAAATGAGTAAGCATACAGCTGCATTGTTTTCAGTTGCCTCTTGTTTACGGACCAGCTCCTTAAATGTTATTGTCTTTTCCATGTTTGTTTTGGCTGTGGCCTAAAACTTGCTACTGTAAATTTGCTAAATGTTTCTTGGTGCTCATGATGGATTAATGTTCTTTTATGAATTGGCGCTTTACAAATAAAGATTTATTTATTTATTAATGCAGTAAGCCATAAGTAATATCCACACAGTTGTGCTTTGAATGCCTTGATTGTATTGTGTGAAGACTTTGTGTTTGTCTCACTTTCGGACTCCCGTCTGTCGTCAAGCAATCTCTTCACGAGATCAGTCCTGTTCATCTTCTTTAAGATATTTCTGGTCAACTTCACACACTCCTCCTCGCTGTATCTCTTCACCATCAGCTCCTCTATTTTCTCTGGGCATATTGATTTTAGATCGAGTTCTGAGAGGAGGGGGACACCTTTCTCCAATTCAACATGTAGGCAGAAATCTTCAAGCTCCCCAGAACTCAAATGTTCCAATGTTTTAGACAGCCTCCTACGTGTCGTCATTTTTTTAAGCTGGAAAACAAAAGATAACATCACAGAATACGCAGATTATGACGAGTGCCATTTACAGAACGATTGATATTTACATGTTTGAAATGAAATCAATACAAAATGATTGAGTTAAATTAAGGATTATGTAGTTGTATCAATAACTTCACAAACTCTGATTAAATATTTTAAAAAATTATCTCGTATTCTTTCATTAGAGAAAACACATTTGAAACATTTTTACTGGTATTGATGGGTCACTCAGTAGTTATTCATCAAAGGCTGCGGCCTTCAGGTTTCTCTAGATCCATTTGTAAATCGTATTCATGACTTACAAGCATTACATGGCCAGTTGCCAGTTTACCTCAGTGAGAAGTTGTCTGGATGAGCCTGCTTCACCTGTTCATCATTTTTGGTTTGGGTTGGGTTAAGCTTTGGTTCGCTCTTCCAGTAAGTGTTCAATTTGTTGAGATTGTTTCTGCTTTCATATAAAAACACATTTTTACAGACTTACTCTTTCCACTACAACTTCTCTCACTTGTCTTATCTATGTTATACAGCTCTGTTGTCCAACTACAATAACTTTCAATTTAATATTTGGATCTTGATCATACATTATATATTTTTTTTAATATATATTTTTGTGTTTTGTATATCAGTGTTGTTTTATACATTGTTAGAAAGCCAGATTCGTCACCTTTACGACGAGGTGTAACTTGTAAGGATTGTGCACTCGTGGAATGAGCAACACAGCTAAACGTGTGGGTAGCGCCAAAATCCCCTGCAATGTTTTTCTGTTGGTATTCACTCCTGTTTTGAGTTGCTTGATGATGGATGACTGTACTCTCCCACAGTAATTAACTTTTTACACTTTATTCATTTTACACTGTCAGGGACCTCAGTCGCATGTGTAAGATCCATACACAGCCACGACAGCTTGGTGTGCCACACGTTTAGCTGTGTTGCTCATTCCACGAGTGCACGATCCTTACACGTTATACCTCGTTGTAAAGGTGACGAATCAGGCTTTACAACTGATATATAATACAACAACAATAAGGGTGAAGTTAGCTAAAATGGGCCACATTTTGGTAAAAGATGTATAAGACTATCAAATAAGCTACGCATGAGAGCTAATGATATTTTTATAAATTGGCATGGGTCTAATTATTTGTTAAAACAATGTGACTAAGCATAATTGTTTTTGAAATATGAGACTTAGAGCAGGGACGGACTGGGACTACAAAACAGCCCTGGACTTTGACTCGGCCGGCCCACAACAATCGGTATGCGGAAAGTCATCAACGCCTGACATGGGTGTCACAATACTTTAATCATGACTCATGACACTAAACCATCCAAATTACAGCAATAGCAATGATGTTGATCATAACATCATCTATTCCATGCAATCTTATGAGTACTTTATTACTCAATAATCTTAATTAAATTATGCAGTAATTAACTTACTGCACAAATAATAATGAAAATACACCACTACAAATGTAACTTCTGTATTCAAAGTATTCAAAGTTTGTAAGTATTATCAGAAAACTGTAACGTTACCAAAACTTTAAAAAGTAAAAGCACAACAGTTATTTATATATACAGTATATAGCCTATTTCTTAATATTACTGCATGTGGCATTTTACACCTAAAATGTTTAAAGTGGAGCTGTTTTAACTACTATAATCATTATTTCACTTTATTTTATTTCATTAAATTTTTTTGCATTGTACTGTGCAACACAAACTGGGTATAGATAAAAATGTAGCAACACCTGAATAACATTTGCTAACATCAGCCAGCAAGTGACTCTCTTTCTCCCTCTCTCATGTCATGTTCCATACTTACTTGCCCTGTATCTGTCTGTGGAGCTTCCACCAGCTCATCTCTCTGTCCCTCATCATCACATGTGACATTTAGCGGCTTCACTTTCTAAATGTCGCATTTTTCTTTCCCTCGCCTTCTCAGCCCCACCCTCTTCTTTGCATTTTCTGTCCATATTTTTGTGCTTCACTACTACTACCAAAGATCGTCTTCACTGCTGCTGCTGCTGCTGCTACTTCTTCTTCTTCTTCTTCTTCTTCTTCTTCTTCTTCTCAATTAGCTGGTGGGCACCTTACAGTCTATGGTGGGCACGGGTGGCTGCCGTCTGGCATCCAACTTAAAGACGCATTGTTGCTACCTACCGGACTGGAGTGTGAAACAGTAGATTAGCAGGAACAAAAAAAAAAAAAACTGGTGATGACTGCGTGGGGGCCGCCGGCCGACCTGTGATTCTCCAGAACACACAGATGGCCGGTCCGCCCCTGCTCACGTCCGCTGTTTGAGCGACAAATTCCCAAGAGAGTCTTAATGAGCTGAACCGTGAAGCAGTTACTGTTTGCCTTGATAAAGTTTCTATGTTCAGACGTTGATAAAATAATACTCACCTTGTTTCTGTCTTTCCACGCGTCAAAATGTTTTTAGTAATTATCAACTCTTAAAAAAAGAACAAGTTTAAAGCCCAGTCACATGTCTACCTTTTGCTCATCTATTACCAGGAAGTCGAAGATAGCCCTGTGCTGCGTAGCTTTTGGGTAGGATACGTCTCAGTTCCATTAATTGCCTCCTCCTCTGAGTCCCTCCAACCAGAGATGCGCGGAGAGATGCAAGGAAATGAAGCAGAGGCGAGAGGAAATATGTTTTAAGAGCTATGATATCCCTGCTGTTTACAGTCTATGGTCCATCCCACCTTAGTGACGATGACATCAGCTGATCATGTTCAGCTGTCAGTCAGCTTTAACAGCTGTTTGTGTCTGCACAAATACGCACTGTGTTATTTCTAATGAAATACAAACACAGTAATAGTGTTTAGTCTCTTTATTTTATTTGATAACACAAACAACCTGTGGGCTTTTTTTTTTTTTTTTTTTTAACTGATAATCCGATAATGAACTCTGTATTTTATAAACACAAATACTTTAAAATGTCCTAGGAACACTAAAAATGATTTATTAGGTTCTGAATTACAGGGAAATCAGAACACATAACATTTTTCCAAACACGAAGATCATTAATGATCTTATATGAAACTTTATTAATGTAAATAATGATTAATGTAAAACGTGTTTCTTTGTCTCTATTTATCTAACAAAGCCCCTTTGCTCCTCAAAACCAACCTCCAGTTTACTGATCGCTTATAAACAAATAACAGCTGTTAAAAATGTGAAAGGTAGATGCGTGTGCAGTACACTCTTACGTCACATGAATGAACGAATACATCTTGTTATTCATAGTTGGTGTACATACCACTGTATACATGTTTGTAGTTTTAAAACTGTATTTGAAAAAGTTAAAATTTGAATATTTTCTTTCTTACAACATCCAACTTTACAACAGTGTGACTGTAAGGACTTGAACTTCTCTGAAGAGATACGGAAACAATCAATATTTAGATGAAAATATATATATTTTTTTACTTGTAGGTAAAGGTCGAAACAGGAGTGAATTCTACATCACTGTATTTACTTTACAATTTTAAAGAGACTTCACACTCAACATATTAAAACCACACATACAAATTTGAATGTTTTATTAAAGATTAGAAAACGTTTCAATGAAGCAGACATTTTTAAACACCATCCAAATGTAACAGTATCCTTGTAGGGTAAAAAAGTTATAATTAATATCATGACGTAGCATGGTCCGAATCCCACCAAACTTTCAGCGAGTCTTTAGTTCCCGCTGTTGATTGGGAGCTACACTGATCAGCAGCTTCGTAGGCCGAGTTAGGATTATTACATGGTCATTTAACTTTGATAATTCATAAAATCATAACGACCCAATGTATCGTCACCAAACTCATGGGGTTAATAGATGTACATGCCGGGAACATCTAGTAAAACATTCAGAACGGTGTGCACCCTTTGCAAGAAACACACATCTGACTGGCTTAGCGAAACTGGCAGCAGCTTTTCATGAGGTAGAGACGAGTCAACGGTAATTTCAGCTCTGTACTCTATTCCCCGACTGTGTTATGATATTATGGTGTTTATGAAAATGTATTTACAAAAAGACTTGGAAAAACAATCTTTTAGCATTTGGCAGAATTCATATAATTCGGTTTTAATTCACATCAATTAATGAGGTTAAAAAAGGAGAGCTCTTCAATTATAAATTGTGTTCATTATTTTTGCATGATCATCATATTTGCTGAATCTGGTCAAAAGTCAAATAGGAAACCCACATAGAGACATAACATTGCAATGAATATTTCCCAATTATTCATGTATTAAAAACTGGTTTTGGTCTAAAAAAGATTTCACCCCAACATTTAGTGCTTTGTATTGAGGTCGTCAATGAGAAATTTCTCATTTTCCAGAAGGATTTGGTAGAAGACATCTTTGCTAGCAGTACCAGCTTTCAGGCAACCGCAGTAGAGCTCTCTCATCTTCTTCTGAGAGGTCGGCAGAGCTCTGATTGTATCGTAAGCCTCACGCTGGAGGACACCTCTATCGAGGAGCCGATCCAGAATGGGATCCATGTGGCTCACTCTGTCGGTGAGCTGGAGTTTATATTTATCCACAAAGTGTTGGTCTGAGAGAAAGGAGAAAAAAAATAGTCAAGGACTGTTTGTAGTTTGAGATAACATAAAGCCAACTTGATAACTTTAGTCTGCAGAAAATAGTTGGCATATTCTAAAAACCCCAAAATAAGCCAACATGGAGGTGCATTAGACATGCATTCTTTGTAATGGCCAGCAGGGGCCGACTTCAAGATCAAGATATCAAGATCAAGATTTACTTTATCTTCCCCAAAGGGAAATCATTTTTGGACTCTGTCCTGCAGTTACAAGAGAGTGAAAATACATAAATATAGATCATACAAAACATAAAGCATTTCATGTAACAATTCCATATACATAAAAACACCTTCTTGCAGCAGTAACATTTGGCATATTGCACGAACCCTGGGCACATCCTACATTACCTGTCATTCAGAATATTAACAGACATTGGCACAAATGAATGTTTGTAACTGTTCAGCCGGGTCTGAGGGACCCTGACTCTTCACCCAGAGGGGAAAAGCTGAAACTCAGAGTGAAGAAAGAAGGTAGGATCAGACACTATTTTCTGTGCCTGACTTCACTTGTTGAAAAGAAAGAAAATGTATTGTTTAGAAGTCTCAGAGAAAAGGGTTTCTCTCATTTCTATATTACAAGAGGAGCGATCTTATTCTTAAAGAGTGCTTTAAAAAGTATCATCTGTAATTACTGTTTGTGTGTAGATTACCTTTGATTATCTAGCATTACTTACACTTTCATATCCAACATATATCATAAAGAGAAAAAATACCACACTGTCTGTTTTATTCCAATATTGTGCAGCCCTACTTGTCAGCCAGTGAGCTGTAGATCTGCTGGAAGACAGCTTTTTTTTAGCCATCAAGATGTTTGCCCTTACCTCCAGTCCTGATGCTAATCTAGCTGAAGCCAACTCTACTTATATCATAGTGGTATAAATATTCTCATCTAACCCATAAAAATAATGCACATCTTTTCAACTCGTCAAAATATTCCTTTATACTCATTAGTAGCAATTATCAGCTTTCTGTTTCTTGAGCCTGAACTCTGTTTAGATCAGAAAAGTTTGGCTTGTTTGAAATATCCACCTCTGTGGTGAATTACAAAGTGACCTTTACAGTCAGATACTGAATGATATGATCCATGACTTCTTTCATGACAGCCTTATACGACGTGTCCTCCTACCATCTGATGTGGTATCTACACCAGCTGCTCCGGCTGAGGGTCTTGCAGCTAAAAACAAAAACAGAGAAAAGGATTGGATTGGTTTTAGACTCCCCCCCCCCCTTCCCACAGGACAAACTGAAAACAGGAAAACAACTCACTGTCTCTGGTCCCGGGTTTTGAGTCAAGTCCAGCTATCACTGTAACTGCAATAAAAGGACACAGTGTCAGTATGTGATGGAAACAAAACAAGCATAACTGTGAGGTTTGTACATCTGTAGATGCAACGTGGATTATGCTATAGAGAGGTGAAGTCCCTTCTCTTCATGGTGGACCACCAGGACCAAATTAAGGACATTTATTTTAATTAACTTTTCATGGCAAGTCGATTGTTTTCATTTTTGAATTACCAATAAATGAGTTTTCAAGATTTTAAAAGATGTTTCTTTGTTGGCCTTTTTAACCTTTATTGATAGGACAGCTGAAGAGACAGGAAATTTGCAGTCGACATGCATCGCAGGTCTGAGCTTTGGAGTTGAATCTGCAGTCGATTCCTCAAGGACTGTAGCCCATGGGGCGGCCTGCTCCCTCAACTGAGCTAAAGTGTCTTCCAAAGGGTTGTCGGTTTGAAGGTTCATTTCTCAATCTCATAAGGTTTGGAGTTCTACTGTTAACGTATTAGTCAGTGAAAATACATCAGTGGATTTCTAAGTTTTGGATGTTCACAGGACTTTTTTTTAAAGGTTTATTGTGGGCTTTTTGTGCCTTTATTGTAGAGACAGGACAGTGGAAAGAGTCGGAAATCAGGGAGAGAGAGAGAGTGGGGAATGACATGCAGGAAAGGAGGCAGAGGTCAGATTCGAGCCTGGGCCACTTGGAGGACTATAGCCTCTGTACATGGTGCGCACGCACTAACCAATGAGCCACCAGCGCCCCCATAAGATTTGAAATACTCAAAAGCACAAATCTTTTTTTTTTAAACATGAATCCTAATAAATTAAAACATATGTCAAAGAAAATCCACACACTATGAGTGCTTCCATTGGGCATTAGTGTATTTTTAATGACACTGCTCTTTTATCTGTATCTATAATCCTTGTTGGTGTAGCCACCTCTTGAGAAGCAGGGAGCAATGTATCGCTATTGCATCACGATAAGAATTATATTATAAAGAGATTAAACTTGAAGTAGAACCATCACTTCCAAAATCACTTAGACTAAATCAACAAAAGTTTAGGAGGGACTATCACTGAAATATCACATGTAATTCTTTACTGAAAATCCAATATATTTGACCGTTTTTAAGAGGGAAATGAGAGCTACTGCTTGGAATGGAGGAAATCTCGTGGTGGTTAATCTTTATTATAGACGATCTTTGGTTAGTGGTCAGCGAAAGCGAAAGTAAAAAGGGAGCGGGCTCGTTCAAAAAGGCTACTTTAATTTGTGCTATAAACTATTCTATTTCAACTACATTTTGTATGATTGCACAAAAAAAACATATTTCTTAACGTTGTAACCTAATTGTTGCTGATTTTTGTGATAATAGGCCACTTTGAATGTCCTGCAAAGCAAGCCCGACCTCATATGTGTTCTGCATGAAACCCTTTAGGTATAGTCACATATTTACCGAGTTCTTCTACTTCCTGCCCGCAGTTAGCACATCCCAACAACTCCACAGCCACCTTTACAGCTCCAGCCTCGGTAAAGGTAGAAACCAGGACGTCTGCGATCTGTAGGAAGTTTTTTCCCTCCACTTGTCTGCGCCGGACGCGCGGCTCCTCCCTGCGGTCCAACAGATGGCTGCAAAACTTGTCAAAGTCAGACTTTGACAGATTCTCCAGCATGTCTGCTAAAGCAGCTTTCTTGGTTTTGGGGGCCATTTTTCACCAAGGGGTCCCCCACGTCTTCAGTGACCGCGGCCTACCGATTGTCAACAGTATTTATTTCCGGATCAACCGCGTTAATGTATCTATCGAGAGACAATCGGAAACATGAGGGGGGAAATGGTGCCTTCAAGTGCAGTTGAAAATTTGAGTATCAATTCAGTAGAAGGGATGCAATCTGTGCGCAAGGGTTAGTAAATTTAGCTCTCACTGCTGGCACACTTGTTGTTGTGGTTATTTCTATTGTAGTAATTCTAACTGCATCATTATCACGGGGAGAAAATGCAAACTCCACGCAGAGAGGCTCTGATCTTGTAAAACATACAATGAATTCATTAATTACATTTTTAAAAGGAACAAAGGTTGCTGTAGGTGCTTATCCAGTTTTGTTTCATACACTGGTCCAATAGGTGACGGTAATATAGGTTTCCAAACGCCATTAAAGCCATAAAGTGGAAGATGAGGAATAAGTGGCAGCTCTTATTTATATGTAGGTCATGTTGAAACCAGGACGTCTGCGACCTCCCATCGTCTCTTCCCCTGCACGTTTTTTCACAAGTTATTTCATATCAACCATTGGTTTAATGCCCGTTTTTCCTGTTTCTTATAGGCTACAGATTACTTTTTCAGAGCGATGAAATGGGCTGTTCACCCATCAAGCTGTGTTGTTATTTTCACATTACTCTATAATCCATGCAGTTTCTAAAACATTCAGGGGGGGGGGGTGTTCCACGTTTGCACAAGCAATTTGATAAATTGTAAATTAACTACATAAAAGACAACAGTTGTCTGTCTAACAGGCCTCTGGATAGAAAAGCAGAGAGGTTCAAAGACTATCAGGGCTTCTACTGTTTTGAAACAGTGCGCGTTCATGCACTCTCTGTATTGAAAGTGTTCAAGCCTGGGATCTAATGTCCCAGCCTGTGTGCACATTAGCCAGTCCGTGGTCCCTCACTGTCATTCACGAGTGGTGATAACAACTATGTGACTGCAAACTTCATAAATATTACATAGATAGCCTAATTATTATTCATTACAATGAATTATCGGCTGGTAGATTAATGGGTCGGGCTCTAATAACTGGAGGTAACTACACCTCTTATCTATTTTACTATTTAACTTTCAATGAGGCCATAAGCAATGAGTAAACATCCTGCTGTATTATGTAAGATGGGTCTTGTTGTCTGATGGGTTTATGGTACCTGTCCCTACTTGAAAGTGTTCTTCAATACAGCTTGATGTTAATTCAGTCCATCACAGTTTAATTTTGTTTCAAATCATTGATAAAGCAGGGTGCTATATGTATGAGGGCATAGCTTCCTGGGTTTAACAATGACCACTATTAGCTACAACATTTTAACCAGGATAGAGATGTAACAAAGTTCATGCACACTGTCCTCAACGGAGGTTCACATCATGCCCCCTTCAGACCAAGATGAGGACAGCCAAAATAATGATGAAGTAGTTCATTAAGTCATTTTGGTAATGTGTACTATTTTTTATAGGCTTACAGTTCATTTTACAGAGGTAGTAAGTTAAAAGAGAGCTCATGCAATCTCAGTAGCTATGAAAATAATAAAATAATAAAATGCATTTGTTCATTCATGTGATGTAACAGTGTATTGCACAATCATTTATTTTACAGATTCTTTAAGACAGCTGAAAGCGATTAGTAAAATGGGGGTGTTGGCTTTGAGGAGCAAAGGGGCTGGTTTAAGACCCCATGAACTCGCCGTTATGTCAAACCTGTCTGCATCAGACTAGAGACAAAAACTACACAGCACAGGGCTGTCTTCGACTTCTGGATAATGGACGAGCAAAAAGTAGAAATGTGACTGGATTTTAATCTTGTTTTTAGGTTTGTCAGCTTACTAAGACGTCGACGATTTTCGGTAAGTGGAGGAATGTTTTGCTCAAACAGCGGAAGTGGGTTAAGTAACATCTAACTAGATAGACTGCAAATATAAGGGTTTTAGCTAAATGCCATAATTATCAGAGTACATTAAACCAGGAAGCTGAAGTTGGTTTTAAGTTGGATATTCGAAACCACGAACCAGTCACGTAAACCTCCCACTCGAGAGAGAGAGAGAGAGAGAGAGAGAGAGAGAGAGGACGGTAACCTCTCCCTCTACCTCGCCCTAACCGAGCTGTGTGTGTGTGTGTGTGTGTGTGTGTGTGTGTGTGCGTGTGCGTTTGCGTGTGCGTGTGTGTGTGTGTCCATGTAATGCTTGTAAGTCATGAATAAGATTTAAATCTGAAGGCCGCAGCCTTTGATTAATAACTACTGAGTGAGCCATCAAAAAGTTTCAAATGTTTTTTCTTTAGTGAAAAAAAAAGAGCTATTTTTAAAAATGTTTAATCAGAGTGTGATGACATGCTACTTGTCAATAACTCTGGTATTTATGAAATGAAATAAAAGGATCCAATCAAATATGTACTTTCTGTAAATGGCACTCGTCATAATCTGCATATTCTGTGATGTTATCTTTTGTTTTCCAGCTTGAAAAAATGACGACACGTAGGATGCTGTCTGAAACATTGGAACGTTTGCGTTCTGGGCAGCTTGAGGATTTCTGCCTACATGTTGAATTGGAGAAAGGTGTCCCCCTCCTCTCAAAACTCGATCTAAAATCAATATGCCCAGAGAAAATAGAGGAGCTGATGGTGAAGAGATACAGCGAGGAGGAGTGTGTGAAGTTGACCAGAAATATCCCTAAAGAAGATGAACAGGACTGATCTCGTGAAGAGATTGCTTGACGACAGACGGGAGTCTGAAGGTTAGACAAACACAAAGTCTTCACACAACACAATCAAGGCATTTTAAAAGTTCTATATTTCAATTAATGAGGAAAGCAAAACCGTCACTTTACAAAAAGAGCAGGTAAATATCTTACTCTTTGTTATATTATCTACAAAGACCCAACATTAATCCATCACGAGCACCAAGAAACATTTACTGCTCTGTGTGCCTTTGAATTGTCCCCCGGGGATAAAATAAAGTTTTTGCAATTGAATTGAATTAGCAAAGTTACAGTGGAAAAAAATCCTTTAAGAGCAGAAACCTCGAGCTGAACCAGACTCATGATGAACAGCCGTCTGCTGAATCTGTGTTGGGTTTGGAAAGTGGGATAGAAATAAAATTGGTTTTCTTTTGCATTTATTTTTTCCTCAGAAGAACACTCTATGGATGAAGAGCCGCTTTCACTGACCCAGAGGGTGAGTATGTCACATCACTCTGACTTCACACAGCGTCACTATTATAGAGTCCACCTCGAACATTTCAATTAAAGGTACAAAAACTAACGTTATTTATTTAATGCTGATAAAAAATATGATCCTTTAAGTAACATTGACCTGTTTTAATCAATATTTTCTCAAAGAGCTGATAAAGCAAAGTACACTGAATCAATAGCATTTATTTTCCCTTTATATCTCCACTAATCATATCTTCTTTAACTACTTACATTTAAGTATCACATGTTATATGATGTTATATTCCTGAATATTTATTTATTTATTTTGCTTAAAAAAAACATTAAAACATTTAAATATTCTATCTTCGAATCTGCATTGTTTTTAGCAGGCTAATGTTAGCACACTTTGGTTAACTCGTAGCTTCATACTGCACATAAATTGACAGAATGAAGGTGATCTAAAGACACTTAGGTGAAATCCACATAAGCAGTGAGTGTGTTGTTCTTCTTTTCTCTGAATAAACAGCATTTATTTTCCCTTTATATCTCCACTAATCATATCTTCTTTAACTCCTTACATTTAAGTATCACATGTTATATGATGTTATATTCCTGAATATTTATTTATTTATTTTACTTTAAAAAGAGATTAAAACATTTAAATCTTAGTTTATTTCTCTAAGCACTCAAAAGGAAGATCCAATTTAAAGGATGAATGTGCGACTTTCTTTATCCAGTAGATGTCGTCCTTGAGCACCAGCATTAAACCAAAACAAACTGCTGTTTGGCAACATCTCTGCCATTCTGAATCCTCTGCTCTCCTCCAGCAGCACACCTACGACACCTCTCCACTCGCCTCCCATGAAGGGGTTAGGAATTAGAACGCACCATAAAAAAAATGAATTAAATTCAAAAAACGTTACTTCTCCCCGGGGGCAATTCAAAGCATTAACAACCACTAAGTGCAAGTGGCGGACAAACTTGTCCTTTGCTCGAGCTGCAGTTGCCTGTGGCCTGCATTGTTGTGTTAGCAAGCTAATGTTAGCACACTTTACTTAGCTCGTAGCTTCACATTAAACATAAATTGACACAGAATGACCGAGTTCTAAACACACTTACTTGAAATCCAAATAAGCAGTGAGTAAATTCTTCTTCTTTTCTCTCGACCTCGACTTAAACAGCTTTATGCACAAGGCCGTCCCGTCCATGTAAACATGATGTAAACACAACCCCGACAACAACACAGCCAGCAGGACTCGAGCTTCTCACTCATTGCAGACAGTCACAACTCAAACAGACATTTACAGGATATACTTGATTTCTGCTGTATTTATGTGTAAAATGTCACACATTCTTCCTTAAAAGGCTTAATATGCAATTTTTCACACTTAAATGTAGCAGAAATCAATCCTCTGTCAATCGCCCCATGTATGGAGGCTGTAGTCCTCCAAGTGGGCGACCCAGGTTCAAATCCGACCTGTGGCTCCTTTCCCTCATTCCCCACTCTCTCTCTCTCCCTGATTTCTGACTCTATCCACTGTCCTGTCTATCTATTAAAGGTACAAAAAGCCCAAAAATAAATCTTAAAAAAGAAAATCAAAGGTAACAACCGTATGTTACTCAATGCAGAAATATAAGCTGTTTGTAAAAAAAGTAAAGTACTTGAATGTAAACATAACTATAGTATGATAACCATTGTCATGCGGCAGATGTACGTTGGTCAGTCTTAAAAAAGACAATTGATGAAATGTGAAAAGAAATATCTGTACTCATTTTTTGCACCTTGAACATGTTCTTTTAATTTTTCAGGTGGAAAAGATGACATCTGTTATAGAACTGCTTGTGGAAATTATGGCTTGCCTAACAGAAAACCAGTATGAGATATTCAAGCAGTTGATCAGATATGAAGGCTACGAAACATATAATTCATACATCCCTCGTTTGCTGTGGCAGACAAACCATCAGGACACTGCATGTGTTACAGTTTTGACTTTTGGTCAAAACTCTGTTGTGAAGACGATGAAGATTTTAAAGAAGATGAACAGAACTGATCTGGTGCAGAAGTTGTTGGAGACCAGCTCAAGTTTCAAAAGTATGACCATGAAGACCAAGATCATTTAAAATCGTAAAACTGTCTCTAAACCTATTTCACAAGTGTTTAAGTTACATCTGTATCTGTTACAAGATTTATAATAAGATTCATAGTGCACAGATATTAAGACTTATCAGTTGGTTTACCAATATATCTTTTTGACTTATGTTGTACCTCACAAATCATTACTAAACTATTTGCCTGATAACATCTTTGTCATGTTTAAGATCAATCTCTCATGAGTTATTTTTTCCACTTTTTTCCTCAGAGAAACGCTCAGATGAACCACGCTCTGTCCTGTTGGAGAAAGTGAGTAATCACTTCACATCTGTCTGATTTACACATGAACATGAACATTTTGATGAAATTTGATGAAATTTGAATTAATCTGTTTTTCACAAAGCTGAAGCTTTATTCAGGTTGAGCGTTTTAGCAGTAATGTTGTGCAGCAGATTCATAAATATCTTTGACAGTGCTTATGAGATGAAATGTCAGCACATAATCTTTTTCTGACTTTTTCCTTCAACAATAATCAATATAATAAAAAGAATATCTGTCAGAAACACCCAGCTCAACACCTTAAGAGACACATTTAAAATTGTCCTAGTTGATTAAGCAAATGTCTCATGAGTGTGTTAACTATTCCAGGCAGCAACAATGGCAGCTGTTAAAGAGCTGCTTTTGGAAATCCTGCATTCTTTAAATAATGGGGAGTTCAGGAAATTCAAGAAGTTTCTGCTGTCGGCCTTTCAAAAGGACTCCAAAGACATCCCACATTTATTGAGATACTCAAACGAGCGTACAGAAATATTGGATGTGATGGTGCAGACCTACGGGCGACAGTCTGTGGATGAGACCAGAGAGATTTTAAAGAAGTTGCACAGATTTTGATCTCATGCAGATGTTTTCAGAGACTAGCTCAGAACCCAAAGGTAAGACAAATAAGAACAAAACAAATCTTTGATAAATAAGATTAATACATTTGTTGAATTTGATTTCTTTAGGTTATGTTGTTGTTACCTTGTAAAGCAGCTGAACCTTATTAAAGTAGATCAACGTCTCATTAAAATAAGTCGTCGTAGTCACAAATGTCTTTTCTCCTCAGTGGATGAGCATCAACCTCCAGTCTTTGAAAAAGTGAGTCCGTTTTTTACATTTCACAGCCTGATTTGTCTGATGCAGATTAAAAAACATCCAAGTCTTTGAACATTGCAAATTATGATACAAACCAAAACAAATGGCTATAATTGGTTGTAAAGTTCAGCTCTGTAGTATTTGAGTTCTGTATTTCAGGTGTTTTAAAGGAAATGCTTCATGTTAAGTGCTGTGGAAGATTTCACATGTTGCATTAAATCATGTAGTTGTATTCAGTTTAACAGAGATTTAAGGGTGAAGGTATAGAGGGGATCTTCTATGTTATGTTGCTACCACAAAATACAAACTTAAATTTTTTTTTTTTTTTTTTTAAACCTGTAAACATAGCCAATAAAATAATTTTACCTGTTGTATTAATCTCGAGTGATCATGGAGAAAGTATTCCGATAACTTCCCTACATCTCTGATTAAATCCCCAGAGATGTTCCTTTTTGATTTTACCATTGGAGAAATGACTAATTTGTTTATTGTCTTTGATATTTTTAGACGGTAAAGGAAGATGTGGAACATGTTCTTTCAGAAACATTGAGTGGTTTGAAACTTGAGGAGTTTGAGAAATTTAAGTGGGTGCTGCAGCTCACATACTTCCAGAGGAGTTTTACACGAATCCAGTGGCACCCACATGATGTCGGCAACAACTCCAGATGAACTGGTGCATCTGATGGTGAAGAACCAGCATCCTGTGGAGGTGACCAAAGAGGTTTTATTGGACATGAACAGGACTGATCTAGTTGAGAGGCTGATGGGGACAGACTCAGGACTTCAAGGTGAGAGAAAGAAAACAAACACTGCCACATTACACACATTTATGTTTAAAGATATTTGATATTTCACAATTACAACAAAAGTAACGAGATCACAAATAAATTATTTTGTTTACACAAGATAACAAACCTGTTTTATACCAGTGGTTTAATTATTCCAATCATATAAAAGTGGCGGAGTTAGCTTAATTTAACCAATCACAATCATCACTGCGTCTGCCGTCAGCAGATCGTTATATCCAACAAACTCTGAACTAAATTGAAAATATGAAGAAGTTCAAGACAAATGTAAAATTATACGGGACACATGAAGTGTTGGTCGGTCTCTCTCCCTCCTCCGCTCTCTCGATCAGCTGCGGGAGCTCCAAGATCAAGAGATCTGACTGTTCAGTGGCGGAGATTTTTAGGTGTGCAGCAGGTTAGGTGTGCAGCATAGGTTACCGTGGTGATATACCCAGGTTAGAAGTGAACCACCTTCGTAGGACTGAAAACCCAGGGTTAACCCTGAAGTTACCTCGCTAACCCCAAATCCTGCTTCGTAGTACAGACCTCTGGACTTTTCAGTTTAATGCCAGATTTATTCGCCTGCGTCTGCTAAATGAAATTGTAACATTGTAACATTAGCCACTGACCTTTGTTATGTCGGGGTGGCGGGGGGGCGTTGGGGGGGCGGGCCACCCCCCTAATATAATGGTAGGGGAAACACTGACCTTACTCTTTGCTATATTATCTACAAAGACCCAACATTAATCCATCACGAGCACTAAGAAACATTTACTGCTCTGTGTGCCTTTGAATTGTCCCCCGGGGATAAAATAAAGTTTTTTCAATTGAATTGAATTAGCAAAGTTACAGTGGAAAGGTAAAAATCGTTTAAGAGGCAGAAACCTCGAGCTGAACCAGACTCATGATGAACAGCCGTCTGCTGAATCTGTGTTGGGTTTGGAAAGTGGGATAGAGGGAGATGCAGGAAGAGGGATAGAAATAAAATTGGTTTTCTTTTGCATTTATTTTTTTCCTCATAAGAACACTCTATGGATGAAGAGCCGCTTTCACTGACCCAGAGGGTGAGTATGTCACATCACTCTGACTTCACACAGCGTCACTATTATAGAGTCCACCTCGAACATTTCAATTAAAGGTACAAAAACTAACGTTATTTATTTAATGCTGATAAAAAAAACGTGATCCTTTAAGTAACATTGACCTGTTTTAATCAATATTTTCTCAAAGAGCTGATAAAGCAAAGTACACTGAATCAACAGCATTTATTTCCCCTTTATATCTCCACTAATCATATCTTCTTTAACTACTTACATTTAAGTATCACATGTTATATGATGTTATATTCCTGAATATTTATTTATTTATTTTACTTTAAAAAGAGATTAAAACATTTAAATCTTAGTTTATTTCTCTAAGCACTCAAAAGGAAGATCCAATTTAAAGGATGAATGTGCAACTTTCTTTATCCAGTAGATGTCGTCCTTGAGCACCAGCATTAAACCAAAACAAACTGCTGTTTGGCAACATCTCTGCCATTCTGAATCCTCTGCTCTCCTCCAGCAGCACACCTACGACACCTCTCCACTCGCCTCCCATGAAGGGGTTAGGAATTAGAACGCACCATAAAAAAAATGAATTAAATTCAAAAAACATTACTTGTCCCCGGGGGCAATTCAAAGCATTAACAACCACTAAGTGCAAGTGGCGGACAAACTTGTCCTTTGCTCGAGCTGCACTTGCCTGTGGTCTGCATTGTTGTGTTAGCAGGCTAATGTTAGCACACTTTACTTAGCTCGTAGCTTCACATTAAACATAAATTGACACAGAATGACCGAGTTCTAAACACACTTACTTGAAATCCAAATAAGCAGTGAGTAAATTCTTCTTCATTTCTCTCGACCTCGACTTAAACAGCTTTATGCACAAGGCCGTCCCGTCCATGTAAACATGATGTAAACACAACCCCAACAACAACACAGCCAGCAGGACTCGAGCTTCTCACTCATTGCAGACAGTCACAACTCAAACAGACATTTACAGGATATACTTGATTTCTGCTGTATTTATGTGTAAAATGTCACACATTCTTCCTTAAAAGGCTTAATATGCAATTTTTCACACTTAAATGTAGCAGAAATCAATCCTCTGAAAATAACTCTGTGAGTCATGACTGTCTACAATGGGTGTAACACCCGAGTCCCGCTGTCTGTGATGTTTTCCGAGTCCTATCTTCAGTTTGTTTACATCGCCGGGACGGCCGGCCGACTCCTCCCCTCGCGTATAAAAGTTGTTTAATTGAGGGACTAGAGAAAAGAAGAATAACATACTGTACTCACTGCTTAACTACGTTTCTAGATCACGTAGGTAAATTTACATGCAGTGTGAAGATACGATCATAATAAAAATCGCTAGCATTAGCATGCTAACACAACAATGCAGCGCGAGTTGTTTTGGACTTCAATTAGAATTGAACAAAAACTTAATAGAAAATTAAAGGTAGGGACGCAGTGGTTAGTGCGCGCGCCCTATGTATGGAGGCTTTGGTCCTCCAAGTGGGCGACCCAGGTTCAAATCCGATCTGTGGCTCCTTTCCCTCATTCCCCACTCTCTCTCTCTCCCTGATTTCTGACTCTATCCACTGTCCTGTCTATCTATTAAAGGTACAAAAAGCCCAAAAATAAATCTTAAAAAAGAAAATCAAAGGTAACAACCGTATGTTACTCAATGCAGAAATATAAGCTGTTTGTAAAAAAAGTAAAGTACTTGAATGTAAACATAACTATAGTATGATAACCACTGTTCATGTGGCAGATGTACGTTGGTCAGTCTTAAAAAAGACAATTGATGAAATGTGAAAAGAAATATCTGTACTCATTTTTTGCACCTTGAACATGTTCTTTTAATTTTTCAGGTGGAAAAGATGACATCTGTTATAGAACTGCTTGTGGAAATTATGGCTTGCCTAACAGAAAACCAGTATGAGATATTCAAGCAGTTGATCAGATATGAAGTCTACAAAACATATAAATCATACAACCCTCGTTTGCTGGGGCAGACAAACCATCAGGACACTGCGTGTGTTACAGTTTCGACTTTTGGCCAAAACTCTGTTGTGAAGACGATGAAGATTTTAAAGAAGATGAACAGAACTGATCTGGTGCAGAAGTTGTTGGAGACCAGCTCAAGTTTCAAAAGTATGACCATGAAGACCAAGATAATTTAAAATCATAAAACTGTCTCTAAACCTATTTCACAAGTGTTTAAGTTACATCTGTATCTGTTACATGATTTATAATAAGATTCATAGTGCACAGATATTAAGACTTATCAGTTGGTTTACCAATATATCTTTTTGACTTATGTTGTACCTCACAAATCATTACTAAACTATTTGCCTGATAACATCTTTGTCATGTTTAAGATCAATCTCTCATGAGTTATTTTTTCCACTTTTTTCCTCAGAGAAACGCTCAGATGAACCACGCTCTGTCCTGTTGGAGAAAGTGAGTAATCACTTCACATCTGTCTGATTTACACATGAACATGAACATTTTGATGAAATATGATGAAATTTGAATTAATCAGTTTTTCACAAAGCTGAAGCTTTATTCAGGTTGAGCGTTTTAGCAGTAATGTTGTGCAGCAGATTCATAAATATCTTTGACAGTGCTTATGAGATGAAATGTCAGCACATAATCTTTTTCTGACTTTTTCCTTCAACAATAATCAATATAATAAAAAGAATATCTATCAGAAACACCCAGCTCAACACCTTAAGAGACACATTTAAAATTGTCCTAGTTGATTAAGCAAATGTCTCATGAGTGTGTTAACTATTCCAGGCAGCAACAATTGCAGCTGTTAAAGAGCTGCTTTTGGAAATCCTGCATTCTTTAAATAATGGGGAGTTCAGGAAATTCAGGAAGTTTCTGCTGTCGGCCTTTCAAAAGGACTCCAAAGACATCCCACTTTTATTGAGATACTCAAACGACCGTACAAAAATATTGGATGTGATGGTGCAGACCTACGGGCGACAGTCTGTGGATGAGACCAGAGAGATTTTAAAGAAGTTGCACAGAGTTGATCTCATGCAGATGTTTTCAGAGACTAGCTCAGAACCCAAAGGTAAGACAAATAAGAACAAAACAAATCTTTGATAAATAAGATTAATACATTTGTTGAATTTGATTTCTTTAGGCTATGTTGTTGTTACCTTGTAAAGCAGCTGAACCTTATTAAAGTAGATCAACGTCTCATTAAAATAAGATAATCGTCGTAGTCACAAATGTCTTTTCTCCTCAGTGGATGAGCATCAACCTCCAGTCTTTGAAAAAGTGAGTCCGTTTTTTACATTTCACAGCCTGATTTGTCTGATGCAGATTAAAAAACATCCAAGTCTTTGAACATTGCAAATTATGATACAAACCAAAACAAATGGATATAATTGGTTGTAAAGTTCAGCTCTGTAGTATTTGAGTTCTGTATTTCAGGTGTTTTAAAGGAAATGCTTCATGTTAAGTGCTGTGGAAGATTTCACATGTTGCATTAAATCATGTAGTTGTATTCAGTTTAACAGAGATTTAAGGGTGAAGGGATAGAGGAGATCTTCTATGTTATGTTGCTACAGCAAAATACAAACATTAAGAACAATGTGTTTTTGAAGAAACCCTGTTAACATAGCCAATAAAAGAAATGTTACCTATTGTATTAATCTCAAGTGATCATGGAGAAAGTATTCCGATAACTTCCCTACATCTCTGATTAAATCCCCAGAGATGTTCCTTTTTGATTTTACCATTGGAGAAATGACTAATTTGTTTATTGTCTTTGATATTTTTAGACGGTAAAGGAAGATGTGGAACATGTTCTTTCGGAAACATTGAGTGGTTTGAAATTTAAGGAGTTTGAGAAATTTAAGTGGGTGCTGCAGCTCACATACTTCCAGAGGAGTTTTACACGAATCCAGTGGCACGACATGGAGTGGGCAACAACTCCAGATGAACTGGTGTATCTGATGGTGAGGAACCAGCAGCCTGTGGAGGTGACCAAAGAGGTTTTATTGGACATGAACAGAACTGATCTAGTTGAGAGGCTGATGGGGACAGACTCAGGACTTCAAGGTGAGAGAAAGAAAACAAACACTGCCACATTACACACATTTATGTTTAAAGATATTTGATATTTCACAATTACAACAAAAGTAACGAGATCACAAATAAATTATTTTTTTTTACACAAGATAACAAACCTGTTTTATACCTGTGGGTTAATTTTTCCAATCATATAAAAGTGGCGGAGTTAGCTTAATTTAACCAATCACAATCATCACTGCGTCTGCCGTCAGCAGATCGTTATATCCAACAAACTCTGAACTAAATTAAAAATAAGAAGAAGTTCAAGACAAATGTAAAATTATACGGGACACATGAAGTGTTGGTCGGTCTCTCTCCCTCCTCCGCTCTCTCGATCAGCTGCGGGAGCTCCAAGATCAAGAGATCTGACTGTTCAGTGGCGGAGATTTTTAGGTGTGCAGCAGGTTAGGTGTGCAGCATAGGTTACCGTGGTGATATACCCAGGTTAGAAGTGAACCACCTTCGTAGGACTGAAAACCCAGGGTTAACCCTGAAGTTACCTCGCTAACCCTAAATCCTGCTTTGTAGTACAGACCTCTGGACTTTTCAGTTTAATGCCAGATTTATTTGTCTGCGTCTGCTAAATGAAATTGTAACATTGTAACATTAGCCACTGACCTTTGTTATGTCAAATAATAAAATATTGTATTTCTGATCTGAGGCTGACGTCAAGCATGGCCCTTTAAGGTTTGTGAAGATTTATTAACTTTTTATTTTTTATTTCTCTTCAGAGAAACATCAGCCTAAACTGCCTCATCAAGTGAGTAAAGTAAAATCAGAAACACATTAAACAACAAGGTTTCCATTTATTTCATGTTTTCGTTACATGAACATAATTATTCTCATCTTGATAGTAAAGTGGTGGAAAAGGTTTTCAGCTGCAGATGGTAAAGAAGGAGGACAAAAAAGTACCATGTTGTGATGATGTTACAAAAAGAACACACTTAAGAATACTTTGTTTTTATAGAAATTGTTGGAGCCAAAATGTGGGTTTATGTTTTGCCCTTTAGTTTTCCTTTGGGTATGTGTGTGTGTGTGTGTGTGTGTGTAATCCCTTTACTGGACACCGTGTGGAGCCTGAGCTGATTCTGTGCTCCAGGTGATGGTAGCAGGTGAATGAATAGTTTTCAACCCTGGCAGCCTGTCAGAGGTGAGCCTGATTTTATTTAATATACCAGATTTGTCTATTATTTAGCATATGGATGCAGTGGGACATCGTTTCATCCTTAGAGCTGAGCACAAATCCTAAATATCTTCCATATTCATCCCTCAAGTGACTTTTTTTTAGAAAATATTGGATTGGTTAAAATTGGTCACTACAGTAAACTTCAAATCTGAAATCATCATGGTGTCACTGTGACTAAGGTACTTGATATTTATTGTTACAATAAGCTGTTGAGGTTGTGCTTTGCCTGTCAGCACCTGTGTGTCTGATCAGACTTAAAGCTGTTTGTTTGCTCTTAGTGACATTGTTTCCTTTTTTATAGATCCTTGTTTGTGTTTTACTTACTCTCTGATGTATGTTGCTTTAGATAAATGCGTCTGCTAGGGGAAATGTAGAAATGCAGAGAAAATAATAATAATAATTGAAAAAGAGTGAATACTGATTCTGATGGTTTGTGTAAATCACTGTGGAGAGTCAGTTATAACTGTGGTGTGGTGGTTGAAGAAAGGGTTAATCATCAGGGTTTTAGGTTCCTTTAATCTGAATGATAGGAATCTATGAATTCTGGATTTGTGGAATTGTGGTTATTAAAACAGAACAAACAAGTACAAATGAAAATGTGTATACAAATTACACACAACCTCTAATAAACATCAAAGACCTCAATTAGCAAGGTGATGTAGCCACATGGCTTAATTGCTGGTTAAAGTCGTCATGTTAGAGATGCGTGATCTTGTCTGGCTACACATTCAAACATTAGAAATGCTAAATACACACATCAGCTTTCTTACACCATGCTGTCTAAAGGAACATAAACAATATGCATTTAGCTTTCAAATATATCAAAGAATGCTAACAAATTAAAAGTATTTCCAGTAATGCTAACAGAAAGAAAAGTATGAAATAAACACAGAAAGAACTTCTATTATTGAAGCACAATCTCCAGCTCTCACCAAAACATAAATTTTACTTATTGACTGCAAAACTTACAATAATTCTTTATTTGTATGGCACATTTTAATACAGGTAACAAAGTGCTTTACCACAGACAATAAAAGCAAACCGAATATAAAAGCAGCAGACAGGCAGTAAGACAAACAGACAATAAAAGCAGACTCATAGAATAAAAGATTAAAATTCAAAATGAAACCACAGATTAAAAGCTTTTTTGTAAAACAATGTCTTAAGTAGAGAATTAAAACGAAGGACTGACTCTGCATGTCTGATCTCCTCTGGCAGGCTGTTCCAAAGTCTGGGGGCTCTGTCAACAAAAGCCCTGTCCCCTTTAGTTTTCAGCCTAGACCTTGGAACAGCCAGCGGAGATCTGCCAGAGGATCTCAGACTGAGTCCTGGTTCATAAGGGTTAAAAGCTCAGAAATGTAGATGTGACAATACTGTCATAACTTAATGTTGATGCCAGTGAACCAAAGTTTTGTCTACAGTTGAGATGAAGCACATAAACGCTCTCTGATTATGTTGACTCCATCAGAAATCCACCAACATCACTTCATTGGACACTTCGGCAAACATTGAGAGCTTAAGATATGAAGAGCACAAGCTATTCAAGCAACACCTGCTGCATATCGCCCAAGAAAAAGGCCTCCCAGCCCCAGAACAACAAATGAAGAAGCAGCAGAGATGATATAGTGATGCTGATGTGGACATCTATGGCCAACAGTCTGTTGAGCTGACCAAAGACGTTTATACAGAATGAAACAAGACTGATCTGCTAAGACGCTCTCAAGGACCAGCTCAGGATTCAACACTGAGAGTAAAGGATGAAAACTGACACATTACACAAATATATATGCTTCATTAAATACCGACTACAGACATTGTTGAGCTGAATCAAGCCTCCTTGTTTTTGTGACGTTAATAATGAGTACATTTAAGTTTAACTTTTTGCCAAATACCGCACATCCAACCCACATAAGTTTACATTTTTTATTTTTAAGATGTGAGATGGTGCCATGTTATATTTTATTCACAAAATGACTAAAACTGACTAAAGCTGCTTTGTCTGATTTTATTGAGTCCTTTTCTCTCCCCCCTTAGAGAAACTTCAGCAAAAAGTCCACAACATGTGAGTAATGTTACATCAGACACTCTACAGTTTTCATTTCTAACTATTTAATTAACAATATTTACTTACTTTTTTGATGAAGCAGGAATCAACCATGACACCGGTCCATTCACAGCTTTTAGAAACACTGGAAGAATTAGACCTGGAGAAATTCAAACAGTCTTGCTCCCACACTAAAATGAAAGAAGGGCTCCCAAAAATCCCAAAGACCAAGTGGAGACGCAGACAAAGATGAGATAGTGAAGCTGATGTGGAGATCTATGGCCAACGCTGTGTGGAGGTGACAGAGGATATTTAGAGAGATGAACAGGACTGATCTGTCGGAAAGTTGTCAGAAAGCAGCTCAGTATCTAAAGTAAGTTTAAAAAAAAAAGTGTTATTTGACTATAAAACATTAGGTGTACAGAACCTGGACTGCATTTTTAAACCTCTATCTTTTTTTTTTTTATAATGCTTCTGTGACGCTGATCAGCAGGGGACGAGCGCAACATGTGTTTAGGCTTTTCTGTCCATTTGTTTGTTGAATGTCCCATGTTTTTAGCTAGAGTGTCTGGAGTAAATATCTTTTAAAGTTTGCACAAACAACCACTAGGATAAAGCAATAGTGTGATCAAAGGTTAAGGGTCACTCACCTCACATCAGTCCCATTCTCATGATGCAAAATCACAGCAATGGATA